TAAAAACCATATTTATTGTAATCTTTACTAATAGAAGTTTGGATAAAAAATTTAGGGGAATCTGGGTGTGGTACTTTGTTGGGGCAAAGACGCTAATATGAGATATTAATAGGAGAAATGTGGTGAGGGGCATATGGGAAACTTTTGTATTACTGTCTCACATTTTTTGTTGCAAATTTAAAACTATTCTAAAATAAAATGTGAAAAAAATTTAAAAATCCGGAGAGTAGTAAAAGAGCATGTAATGAAAGTAAATTCCCCAACGGTAACTGCTTTTAATCTTTTTCATTTATAGTTCTTCTAGTCATGTAAGGTATCTCTAAATAATATACTTTTATTTCTATTTCTATTTCTTGATTTATAAGCAACAATAACATTATTGAGTGTTTAACATTTTCTTTGCAGGTTTAATCTTTATATATTATTTCACTTGATGATCGCAACCCTGTTAATTAGATTCTTAGGAATTTCTTCCAAAAGTTCATGAAGAAATGGAATTAAATGACAAGTTCCCTAGGAACTATGTCCTGGCACAGTGGGTTAAGCCAATTGAGACACTGGCATCCCAGTTTGATTGCTGGATCAAGTCTTGGCTACTCCACTTCCGATCCTGCTCCCTGCTAATGCACCTGTGGAAGCAGCAGAAGATATCTCAAGTACCTCGGTGCCTGCCACCCACACGGGAGACCTCCATCAAGCTCCTGGTTCTTTCCTTTGGCTTGGCTTAACCCCGGTAGTTGTGGCCATTTGGGGAGTGAACCAATAGATGGAAGATCTCTCTCTCTCTCTCTCTCTCTTTCTCTTTCCTTCTCTCTCTCTATACCCAGCCAAACTCTTCTCTCTTTAGCCCTGCCTTAACTAACTAAATAAAACAATCTTTTAAAAAGATAAGTTCATTTTGTTCCAAAAAATTGAAATCCATGCTGTTTTTTCATACTATGTACTTTCCATGCACTTTTTGGAGACCTCTTGAATGCATGTTTTCAAAATTTTTCACCCCAAAATAAGGTTTTTTAAAAAATTCCCTAATCCCATTTTCTACAATTTTAAAGTATTCTTTGTATTTATTTTACATTTGAGGAAATTGAGGTATGTAGAAGTAAACTTAATTGCTCTAGGTCACATATTTTTAAAATTATTAGAGACAGAGCCGGCGCCGCGGCTCACTAGGCTAATCCTCCACCTCGCGGCGCCGGCACACCGGGTTCTAGTCCCGGTCGGGGCGCCGGACTCTGTCCCGGTTGCCCCTCTTCCAGGCCAGCCCTCTGCTGTGGCCAGGGAGTGCAGTGGAGGATGGCCCAGGTGCTTGGGCCCTGCACCCCATGGGAGACCAGGAAAAGCACCTGGCTCCTGGCTCCTGCCATCGGATCAGCGCGGTGCGCCGGCCGCAGCGCGCCGGCCGCGGCGGCCATTGGAGGGTGAACCAACGGCAAAAGGAAGACCTTTCTCTCTGTCTCTCTCTCTCACTGTCCACTCTGCCTGTCAAAAAAATTAAAAAAAAAATTATTAGAGACAGGAAACTGGATGCAATCCTGATCTCCCATGTGGGTGGTAAGAACCCAATTACTTGCAGCTGTCACTATCTCCCAGGGTTGGTATTAAAAGGAAGCTGGAGTCAGGAGCCAGAACCAAGAACTGAACCCAGGCACTCCAAAGTGGGAAGCAAGGATCTTAACCTCTAGGTTACATATCAGTTCCTAGGTCACATATTTTATAAGCAGTGCAGTGAAACTAGTTTTAATTTGAATGGAGGTTAATCTGATTCTACTATATAAGAGAAATAACTAGCTCATTAAAATGGCTACTCCATGACCTCCTGTCAATATATGTATCTGTCTACATGTATGTGTATCCAGGGGAGAATATCTTCCATGTGCTGGTTCACTCCCCAAATAGCCACAATGGCCAGAGCTGAGCTGATCTGAAGCCAAGAGCCAGGAGCCTCTTCTGTGTCTCCCATGTAGGTGCAGGGGCCCAAGGACTTGGGCCATTTTCTGCTTTCCCAGGCCATAGCAGAGAAGTAGAGCAGCTGGGACTCGAACCAGCACCCATATGGGATGCTGGTGCTGCACGCCACAGCTTTAACCCACTGTGCTACAGCACCAGCCCCACTACTTTCTATTAAAGTTTTATAATGGTGCCTACTGGAGCCTACTGCTAGGCGAAATGCTTTTTAACAATAGCACACTCACTTTGTACCAGTTTTATATTTTAAGTGTTGCAGCTCTGTCCACCATCTGCCTGCTTTTGGTCATCTCTTTGGTGACCTTATTTAGGAGTTTAAAAAACATTTTTATCAATAATTTATAAGTATTTTCTATGGTATTTCTATAGGTATTTTCTATGGGGGGGTGGTTCATTAGCAATTGTCAGAATCTACCTCACATTTTTATCTTAAAAAGATCCTAACTCATTGCGGATTGTACATCTATATAGATGCAAAGTTCTTCTACACCTCATGAAGGATTCATTTATTTATTTATTTGAAAGGCAGAAAGAGAGAGAGAGAGAGAGAGAGAATGAATGAATGAATGAATGAATCAGTCTTCCATCTGTTGTTAAGTATCCTCAACAGTCAAGACTAGGTCAGGCCAAAGCAAGAAGCCAGGAACTGCACCCCAATCTCCCATGTGCCTGGACCATCTTTGACTTCTTTCTCAGGCACATTAGCAGGGAGCTGGATGTGAAGCAGGGTGGCCAGGACTTAAACCAGCTCTTCCATATGTGACGTCAGTGTCCCAAGCAATGGCTTAACCAGACATGCCAAAATGCTGGGTCCTGTGCTCATTCTTTCATGGGTGAGCATTCCTTCTGAGTATCCTCTGATCTTTAGTGCTGAATCTCATGATGATTTTTGCTGTGTTTGCTCATTTTCTAAGATAAAAGGAAAGGGGTATCTTGTCCAATTTGATAGTTTATGAGGAATTTGGAAATTACAGCTTTAATGTTTTGCAGTAGATTCTTCTTTCTAATCTGTTTGTGACTCTTCTTCCAGATTAGTCCACAGTACATCTCACAAATTCCTCCTCCCAGCTTCTGAAGTGCCCATGATGGGTGTCTCTAACCTCTTGTAAATACAACTTTCTATATTTCCTTCCTGTCTTCAGAATACCTTGTTGTCTCAGTGATACTTTTTTAGGAGTTATAGGAAGCTTGCAAACTTTTGGCCTTGGGTCCCCCCATCTTCTGTGAGGAGTCACTTTGCTGCAATTCATCTAACAAATGCTTAAATATTTCTGTATGCTAATATTCAGAGTGTTGTGCACAAGTAAAGGCGATACAACCTTAAAACTGGTTTTTACCGAATGGCCTTTGAAGGGCTTGTCATGAGCCTTCAGCTGTTTGTGTGTATGTGTGACTTAAAACAGCAATTTATTACTATCTCCCCTGATTCTGGGGGCTGGCTAGTTGAACTGTGTGGCTGTCACTCAGATCCTCTCCTGTAGGTGTAGTCAGATGGCATCAGAGTGAGAGTCATCTGAAATTTGGCTGGGTTGGACGGCGTAGATGCTGACTCATGTGGGAGGTCGTTCAAGGCTGCCCACTGGGTACCTGCGTGTGGAACCTCCATGTAGCCCGACCTTCACACCATGTGCACTGGGTTGCCGGCGGGGGTTTTCGAAGACCAGATAACCCCAAACCCAGGAACCAGTCAGTAGAGCTCAGGGCTCTGATCTGTAACTGGCACAGCTTTACTTCTGCCATATTCCATTGGTCAAACAGTCTATGCACGTCTGTCTTTCAAATGAAACCATCCTTTGAAATTTCAGTAAGTTCATATACATATTTCAAGTTGATTACATGAGTATATATATAATTATTATACATTCATAAAATTTCCCCTTTCCTCATTAATTGAGCTAGTTTTACTTATTTTCCAGTACTATACTTTCTTGATATCATTTTTTTGAAAATAATAAAATCCCATTTTTTGTACATCAGATTTCCTCCATTAGGTTAATCTTTACAGACCTCCATTTGAGATTAAATATACATCAGTAATTGCTGCCTAACTTCTTAAATAATTTTTTGAATGTTTGGTTTTAGTAGACCTCTTAATTGAATGTCAAGTAAAGTATTTCCTATTGGCAAAGGGATCTCCAGCTTCGTTGAGAAGCATTCAATTAGATGGAAAGCAGATGCTTATTTCTGTCTTATAAACCTCAATGCAGGTTATGTGGTAATTACTTCGAAGAGCAGGATAACAATTTATGTAATCAGCAGGACCCTATAATTACTAATGCATAATTTCTAAACAGCATTTAGCAAAATGAGGCCCATACATACACTTTGTAATGAAAAAGATGTGTTTGACACCACATGAAATTAAATAAAAAATTTGCATATTTTCTTCCAGGAAATGCACCAGCTTCATCTGCTCTATTTTGCTTCAGTAATTCCTGCCTACTTCTAGCTCTGTTATAGGATCATGGAAACACGGAATCACACTGATGCCTGAGTCGGGGAATTCAAGCCAGGGGAAAGCCTTCCTTCTCTGCTATCTAGGAGAGCCCAGCATCACTCTGAGATGATTTGGCAACTTGGAGCCGATGTTAATGTCAAGGTCATTTGCATTTGGAATGTAGGTGCTGGCAGAGAACTTAAGTATTATATGTACTTATAGCTAGTGCAGATGGAAACACTGACACTCAGTAAAATATCACTTGTGCAACATCAAGCAATCTGCAGAAGGAGTAAGAGAGTAGTCACCAATAGTCTTGGTCCTATGTGAATCCATTCCACTGTAGTAGTCAGATCATACAGTTAAGTGCCAGATACTCCATGAGCCCCAGGGATACTCAACTCTTGTGTGGTATCTTAAAGTTTGCACATGCATTTGCATTGCTAGTAGGTTTGTAATGACACAAATGATGCATGCATGTAGGACACCTCCTGGACATAATTTAAGCTCTGTACACAGGAAGAAGTTATGTACTGGCTATTTGCATTCTCTTTCTGAAAGACCACTGCTGCAGTCACACACCGTGATGGATTCTTACCTATGGTTCCTGGAGTCCTGTCAAGGGCATTCCCAGTGTCTTCCTCAAAGCTCTGGACCTAGGACATCAAGATGCATCCATCTCGTTAGAAATGTTTCATAATAAATTCACTTCACTTAATCAACACCTAATGAACATTGACTGGCAACTGACAAGAGCAATAAACGTGAGTTCCTGAACTCAGAGAATACAGTGTGCCAAGAGGAGGTGGTAATGACAAGGCACCCATGAAGAGGATTCGGGGAATTAGAAGATTTCAGGACAGGGAAGAACTGCTTCTTGGTGGGACAGTCCAGGTCCTTCCTGGATGATGTGCATCGGAACCAAAATTAAAAAATAAAAATATTGTTATATATTTTTGTTTTACTCTCAAAAAACTTTAAATATAATTGGAGAATGTGAGTTAATCGTGACTTCATAGATTTATTGACACTGAGAAAATTCAGTTGGTATATAGTAATATCTAGATGAAAGAAAATTTAGTTTCTAAATTCATAAAGCACAATTTTTGAAATTTCCTTCATTAAGCATTGCTCTTAATAATAAAGTTATTGTTAAGATAATAGTTATTCCTTTAAAAAGTAATACATCTTACTTAAAAAGGAGACAAGAAAATAGTCACTATTATTATTTTCAAAGTGTTTCTTTACAGATTTTTCATATACTTATTCTGGGTCCAGTTATGTTGTCAATTTTTTCACTAAAAATTTTTGAGGAAGAACTTTTTTCCCGTATCAGAAAATTTCTTTGAAAACACCAATCACAATGACTGCATGATAGATATACTTTGAAGGCATAAGGAGTCTGAAAAATGTTCATGGAATACACAGATTATGGAGAACTGCATGGATTCCAAACATTTTCTGAATCAAATTCATCTTTTCATTTCATTTTTCAGTGGACCTTTTTTGAAGCTCCATTGTACATTAATCTACTTCATCATTCTCCTGTGGTTGGAAGGTGTTCTGAATTATACACATAAAATTATGCAGACATGCATCTTTGTCCATAAATTCCTTTCTTTCTTTGGTATTGATGTCAGAATATAGAAAGTTCTATCAACTGACATAAGCATTGTAATGCATTGGGCTTGCAAATGACCTTGAACTCGGGAAAAAATTGAGGACCATGAGGATCTAGCACAATGATCCCAAAAGAATTTTTTTCTTCTTTTTAATCCTTCATCCTTTTTCAAAGAAGTTACTTTACACTTACGAGTAGTTAAACACACTTCTTACCGTTATTTTCATTGGTTTTGATAACACAAACCAGTGCGCATCATTTAAGTTTTCAAGTTTAATTCAAAAACTCTTTTTACTGTGACATTATCTTGGGGAAAAAAAATCCATGCATTGCAATGTCAAACACATATTTGTCTATTAAATAAAAAATAAAAGCGAAGAAGTCCAACAACTTAAAGAGAAAGTCCACCTGAGCCAAACTTAATAAAAATTAAATAATCATAACTTTTGAAATATTTCCCTATATGCAAGATGCCGATTGGCATTTTTAAACAATTTCGTTAAAATGTTCTCACTCATGACTTCAAGAGAACAGAGTCTTTGCACACAAGCAGGAAGAGTAAATATAATTTATTCTGCATACAAAGAAGCATCCAACTTGACTTTAAAATTGCACAAATTTCACAAGTATTAAATTTATTTGATATGTCTGAGAATTTAAAAAGGAGCTGACTCAACTCTACTAGGCAAGATGAACACAAAATATGTTGATCTTTGCATTAAAAATCTATGCACAACTTTGTGGGAGTCATAATTTTGAGAAGTGGCCAAATATTGCCAAATTTAGCCTTCAGTGTGACTTTAGGGAAAACATCATAGATTATTCTGAAAGCAAAATTTATCCAATCATAGTTGAAATTCTGATAGCTAGATATTTAAGTACATTGGCTCATGTTTTAAAAGCCATGGAAAACTGCCAATTTCACTCATATTTTTCATTTCCTATAATTGGATTTTTAGATTTTCCATTGGAAAATAAATATAAAATCTGTCATTGGCTGCTATTTAAGATGAAATCTACGCATGCTTCATTTACTCATCCATTGACATGGAGTGAAACAAATATTTTTCCCCAGTGACATGTAATATTTTACATGTACTTTTAATAAAAAACAAAATTCAAGTAGTGAATTTTTATTAAAGATCTGTTTTGGGGCTATTTCTGCCCTTTATATGAATAGTCTCTCTCACACACAAATCCAAGAAAATATTAAAGGGACACCATAAATAAAGTTGTTTATGAAGTTTGACAATAATTCTGGTTTTCTATAGAAGCCACCCACAGATTAGATTAATATCAGCAAATACGTTGAATGTTACTCTACTATTCACCAAATCTTTGCTGGGTGTATACGTTCTGACAATGTTATTTACTTGTCCACTAAAGATTTGCTGGGTGCCTGCAGCTGGCAAAGGCACATGGGAGAGTGTTCTGGGGAAACACAAATCGCCTGAATATAATCCTTTCCTCCCCTCCAAATATAAATAAGTAGGCTTTTTTTTTTTCTTAAATAATTGTCATGTAAGGATATCTGGAAATGTTCTGGGGAAAGACTTTTCTATTTCTTTGAGTGGATTTTGACATGTGCCGGTCCTTGTACTCTTCCATATAGATGGCATACAGGGACATCATTTTCCTTGAAGTCTGTATAGTTTGAAGCAGAAGAATCCTAAGGGACAGAGCTGTCAAATGAAGCTTGACATTGGGTTGGAGTTTGGCACAACTCCTTGCTTGGATCCCAGCTAATACGGCAGACTGACTAATGCACTGCAGATGGGCTTGAAGTCCTGTACAGCCATTTAACCATTGGTCTGTTAATTAATCTTTACATGATTGAGTTAAATAAGAATAGTGATGCCTCTGTTTATCCTCAAATCAGGGCTCTTGACCAAAGGGCTGGGTTTTTTTTCCTCTCTTTTATAACTCTACTGATTTTCATATACCTTTTAAAATTGGCTTAATATTTTAACATTCTTTGTTTTTATGTAGATTATATGCATACATGTTCAGAAATATAGAGAGATGATTGGTGACAATCAGGACCATTAACAGCTATATATTTTAAGTCCATTATTTTTTAAATGTACTTTATTTGAGAGGCAGAGACACAGAGCTTCCATTCACTAGTGTACCCTTCACTCTCCAAATGCCTGAAACAGCTGGGGTTGGGCAGGGTCAAAGCTGAGAGCCAGGAACTCACATGCATGCAGGAACTCAAGTACCTGAGCCACCTCCCACGCCACACATCATTAGGAAGGGACAATGCTGAGATGGACTGAGGCTTGCAGGCATCCCTAGTGGTATCTTAACAGTTATTAACCAAGTTGTTTAACCAAATGCCCACCCCAGGGCAAATTTTGTATCTTCCTTGGGTGGGGAGGGATCCCAATAGGCACGTTCACCTGGTTAAATCCTATTCTTCTTATATGATTATGATAGAACCTTACTTTCCACAGGTTCTTTGACCTTCCTAGTGTTCTGGCTGATCATGAATGTCTTTTGGTGCTCTCTAAATAACTCCAAACATATCTGTATAGTAACATAAAAGTTGATATGTAGAGCTGGCACTGTCCCTAGGATGTGATGTTATTGGTTTCTGTGCCCACTCCTGCCTCTTCTCTGTAGCTCGCTGGAGGGCAGATTCCATGATGAACTTTGTGCTAGTAACTCTGTGCCTGGTACATGGAGGGCTCAGCTGAGAAGTGATGCCATCTTGGAACTGGCCTACAGTATTTTGGGTACCTAAGATGAAAGGAGGGGGAACCCATCTTCCCCTGCTTTCCCAGGCACATTATCTGGGAGCTGGATTGGAAGTGGAGCAGCTAGGACTTGAACCAGCACCTGTATGGAATGCTGGCATCACAGGCAGAGGCTTAACCCATTATGCAACAATGCCAGCCCCTTGCTTGATGTTTTATTTTGCATCTCAATATGAATTCTGTCTCCAAGTTTCCCTTTGCTTGGAAGTCGATCAATGGCTTTCCACTCAGTGAAATTTTCCCCATGACTACTCTTGCTGTTTTCTCATGGCTTTGGCAGAAAGACCCTCTTGTGTTAGAAACGGGGCATGTGTCAATGACATTTCCCTGATGTTTTCTCCAAAATGCCTAATGCAGGCCCATTGACCAAGCAGTAAGAACTTGGGTTTGGTTTGGACTTACTGGGCTGCTGTGCTGTTTGTGTGTTTGCTTTAGTGCTTGGGCCCCTGCACTCACATAGGAGACCCAGATGAAGCTCCTGGCTTCGTCCCTGACCAGCCGATGTGGTCATCTGGGGAATGAACTAGCATTGGAAGATCTCTCTCTCCCGACTATCTCTCTGTAACTCTGCCTTTCAAATAAATAAGATAAATCTTAAGAAAAAACATTGAGGAAAAGTAAACTCAGAAAATATCCATATATTCAACTGTGGGTAAGAAAAAGAAAAGGAATAAGATGTAGCAATGGTTGGTTTCACAAGTGAAGTAACTAAAATGACCTCAAGTGTCCTTGACTAAACTGAATTGGACCAATAAAATATAATGCTGAGAGGTTGACACATGGCGTAAATGTGGATTGGAAGCCAAAAAACTCTGTGATGCAGGTTATTTTTCTTAGGAAGATGAGTATTTGAGTGCAACACTGACCTCTTCCATTTCAAAGGAGTCTGGTCCTTTACCCACAAGACAAGACCAATTCTTGAGCTTATTAGAGTGAATCGAGTTCTTCCACATTCTGTCCTTGACTGACCCCTCAAACACACAGGATGGAGGAACCTGCTTGGCCTGTGGGGATGAGTGTGGCCACTGCTTGCTCAGAAGACTTTCCCAAGGATGATCAGGTATCCAGTCATCACGGGCTTGCAGCGACTGATTTTCTGCCACAGGAGACAAATGCCTTTGGTTGACTGAGGCAGCTGGTAACTCTGCTCCATTTGCTTCTGGTTTGGAAGAAGGAATGAAAACCTCATCCTCCATCTTAAATGAAGCTTCTGAGTTGCAGTCTCTCCTGATGGTCTGTTTTGAAGCTCTCCTTGTAAGTTTCCCCATTCTTCTTTGATGCCCTTTGGTTGCACTCACTGAGGTTCCCTGTGCACTCTCTCCTCCAGATTCCCCCTCCACTTTGTTCTGTAGGATGTTAACATCATTCAGCAAAGATGAGAAGGTGCTGGTCCCATGATCCCAGCTTCCCAGCTGTTGGAAATGGCCTGAACAACACAAGAAACACAATCTCTAGACTAGGTCTTTTCAATGGAACTGTAGGAAATAAGGTACTAAAAAGTGGAGATTTGGTTAACGTGTGATATTTCAGATAAAAGGATTTCAAACTCTTAAAACTCTTTTTCCCAGTGCCTGCCACTGTAATTATGAAAGATGGCTCCCCTCACAATGGTTCCCCTATTCTCTGTTATATTTAGTTAAGCTATATTAGAGATATATGTATGTATGTGTGTGTGTGTATATATATATATATATATACACGTATATACACACACACACATATGAGAGAGAGAGAATGCAAATAGGAGGATCTTTCCAGAAGTTCATGGAAAAATAGAAGAAATAAATTTATTTTGATGAAAAAATGTTTGAAATCCATGTAAAGCTATTTTTTTTTTTTGGACAGGCAGAGTGGACAGTGAGAGAGAGAGAGACAGAGAGAGAAAGGTCTTCCTTTGCCGTTGGTTCACCCTCCAATGGCCGCCGCTGCAGCCGGCGCACCACGCTGATCCAATGGCAGGAGCCAGGATCCAGGTGCTTTTCCTGGTCTCCCATGGGGTGCAGGGCCCAAGCACTTGGGCCATCCTCCACTGCACTCCCTGGCCATAGCAGAGAGCTGGCCTGGAAGAGGGGCAACCGGGACAGAATCCGGCGCCCCGACCGGGACTAGAACCCGGTGTGCCGGCGCCGCAAGGTGGAGGATTAGCCTATTGAGCCACGGCGCCGGCCCAAGCTATTTCATTATATTCATTTCACATGAACTATTTGAATACTCCATCTATGGTATATAATAACAACTACATATAGGAATATAAAATTTCATATGAGACTATAGTTTTTATGTGCTAATCAATTAGAAACTGAAGACATGAGATCTACATGAGGATACTTCAAAAAGTTCATGGATATAGATTCAAAAGATAAATTTGTTATGGCACCAAAAAAATTGGAGGGCAGAAGTTGTGGTACAACTTGGGACATCTGCATCCCATATCTGAATGTCTCTTGGCATCCTGGCTACTCTGCTTCTGATCCATGTTCCTGCTAATGCACCTGGGAAGCAACAGATGATGGCTCAAGTACTTGAGTTCCTGTGACCCACATAGGAGACTAGAATAGAATTCCTGCCTCCTGGCTTGAGGCTTGTCCAACCCTGGCTGTTTCCAACATTTGGGGAGTAACCAGTAGATAGAAGATGTCTCTGTCTCTTTGTTTCTGTCTCTGTCTCTCAGTCTCTGTCATTGTGCCTTTACAATAAATAAATTCTTTTAAAATACTAGCTTTTGATAATATGCATTTCCATGAATTCTGAAGACCCACTGTCTATGTACATATACTTGTATTAAGCTCAATGTAAATGAGTAAGCCCAGCTCTTTCAATACAAGGTTACCTGAGTAACCTCCACAGCTTTATGCAGATGTCCTCATCATCACCTTCATCATGTCGACCTATTCTGTCACTGAGAATGTGTAAAGACTACAGTATATGGAGTCAGCTGGCCAGAATCCAAATCCCAGGTCAACCAATGAGTACAAGTTTGATTTTGGAGTAAATGAATGAATTCACAGATATACAGTGCCTAGCTCTGTGTCAGGCACGTAGTAAATGGCCACTTTTTGCATCTTTTTTTCAAAGATTGAGTTATTTATCTGAAAGTCAGAGCTACACAGAGAAAGGAGAGGCGGAGAGGCGGAGAGGCGGAGAAGCAGAGAGAGAGAGAGAGAGGGAGAGAGATGTCTTCCATCTGATGGTTCACTCCCCAATTGGCTGCAACAGCTAAAGCTGTGCCAATCCGAAGCCAGGAGTTTTTTCCATGTCTCCCACGTGGGTGCAGGGGCCCAAAGACTTCGGCCATCTTCTACTGCTTTCTCAGGCCACAGCAGAGAGCTGGATCAGAAGTGGAGCAGCCAGGTCCTGAACCAGCACCCATATGGGATGTCAGCGCTTCAGGCCAAGGTGTTAACCCACTATGCCACAGTGCCGGCCTCTCTGCATCTTTCTTATGGGCAGCTTACATCTGTTGTGAACACCAAAGCACAGTTGCAAAAGCACAATACTATGTAATTATTAGTTGCTAAAATATTGATTATAAAGGAAGGGAATATATGTAGTTCTGAATCTTTCAAGAGAAGATAGTAATTAATATGACTATTTGCCTTTCAAAACAAATAAGCTCCTCAACTTGTGAGACTTTCTGTATTATCTGGCCTCAATGATTTTGGCAATGTGCAAGTACTAAATTAATTAGCATATGGGAGAGACCTAATGTTGTAAGGACTAGTTCTGGGACATGTTGCCAGTTTGGGAGAAGTGATAAAAAATTTTTTACTACCTCAAGATAGTAAGACAATGATAATGGAAACAGAACATTTTGTTTTTTATTGCATGGCCTTCTCTCAACCCCAGTGATGATGCAGGGTTGCATAACTCATAATGGCCCAGGGCCGTAAGCGTGGGCAAGAATGTCCTTCTCTGTTCTATTGTTTGTTGTACTATCAGAGCAATGTTTCTGAGCCTTCAGTGAGCATTTCCTTATGCCTCCCTGTCTATTGCACCTGAAAGGTGAAAATATTGGCTCATTATCCTTTTATTCTAAAAATTATGATGGATTTCTCACAGAGAACTCTGCTATTCTTTCATGGCCTACACAAACTCTTGGGTCCTGGATGTTCTGGAATGATTTGCATTATATTTCCTCTCCTGAGTTAAGCTTCAGTTGAAACTAAATCTCTTGTGAACCAGAGAGTATGACTGAATCAGGCTCCAGCAGTTATGACTGCTTACAGCCATCCATACCAGGTTTTTATACTTAGGCAAGCCCCACCTATTAATTGGATCAGTCAACACAGAGAACTCCATAGTCTGAATTGTGGGATGAGGTTTTATTTTTGCCTGTAGGTAGATTGAACAATGGTATGAACCTTTTGTACTGAGTTTGAATGAGACATAATTTTCCTTTCCATCTTTTGAACAGTCAGTTCATTTTATTATTGCTTGTTTTACAGTCAACCTCCTCAGCTTTCTTGAATCAAAAATGTATTGGTAGGGGCTGGCACTGTGGTATAGTGGGCTAAGTCTCCTCTTGCAGTGCCAGAATCCCATATGGGCACCAGTTCAAGTCCACTTCCAATCCAGCTCTTTGCTGTGGCCTGGGAAGGCAGTATAAGATAGCCCAAGTGCTTCTTTCCTTCCTTCCTTATTTCCTTTTTTATTTATTTGAGAAGCAGAGAGTGAGCAAGCACACATGAGCACTCCTATCTACTAATTCACCCCCTAAATGCCCAGGAGCTAGAAACTCCATCCAGGTTTCCCACATGGGTGTCAGGGACCCAACTCCTTAAGCCACCACATGCTACCTCCCATGGTGCACAAATAGCAGGGAACTGGAATCAGGAGTGGAGCCAAAACTCAAATCCAGGAACTCTGACATACATCTCCATCAGCATATTAACCACCAGTCCAAAAACCCACCCCAAGTCCACCCTGTTTTAATACTGCAGCTCACCTGACCACTTGCTGCAACTGCCAAGCTGTGAATGCCACCAGGTCCTCACTTACCACATAAGCTGGGATTCTCAACAAGAATCCGTTGCTTTTGAGCCTCAAGGAAAACATGGGTGTTGATCCCTCTGGCCACTGAGCCACAATCCAGGAATCTGGCTGGGATTTGTGCACAGATGTCTGGTTCATCAGTACCAAAGCCCAGATCCAGGAGAATCTCCACTGGATCTCTTTCCCAAAATTCCAGCCATTCAGGGATGCTGCAGTAAAAATGAGAAAATTTTATCCAATAACAGTTCACTTATTCAATAACCACTTTTTTTAAGTTGCTTCAACCACACAATCTTCCAGTAATTTGATAAAAGAGGAACGTGACTATGCAAATAGATGTGTATTTATTAGAATTCATATACAAAAGGACTACAAAAACTTCCTGAGAGAATTGGGTTAAAAAATAAGTTTATGTTGGTGAAAAAAATTGATGCCCATGCATACAAGGGGGTCTTTAAAAATTCATGAAAATTACATAGTATGAAAAAACTCCATGGATTTCAAAATTTATTGCACCAAAACAAATTTACATTTTAATTCTATTTTCTACAATGTATGAAGTTCTCTTGTATACTTACTTAAAAGACAGGTTATACCTACACACACACACACACACACACACACACACACGGCTCCTTGCCTGTGCTTTACATATGAAATTATGAGCTTCTTTGTCTGGCTTTCTATTTCATAATAGCAAACATTAAATTAGGTCAGGGAGAGTGTGGGACAAGAACTAGAGACATGTCTAGTTATACACATGCATTGCAGATTTCACCTGTTTGCTTTATAAATACTAACATGCTCTATATAATTTCCTGCAATTTTCCCTTAACAACACAACTTAAGAATCTAAGTTAGCATACAGATCTTTATCTATTCTTTTTATAGCTAAAGCAATTCCATAAAATAGATGAGCCAATGGCTTATGTGGTCCTTTCCCCATTGACAGATACTTAACCTGTTTTCCAATTTCACTGACTTATTTATGTGGTTCTTGCAAGTTGGAGTTTGAAAATCCTTTATTCATTTTCTTATTCATCCATTCAGTATCTCTCGAGTGCCTATTTATAATTTCATTAACTCTCGTTACACAGTATGATTTCTCTTGCTGAAAAGTGTGGAAATCACGCACCTTTGTGGTAAACTTGCAGCAGAATGGCAAGAGCTGAAACTAGTCCCTCTGGACAGGCTGGGAGCTTCTGAAAACTGATGCAGAGATCTGCAGTGGGGAAACACCAAGGCAAGATGTGTTGATTTGAACAGTCCCCAGGGAGGTGACCATGAATGTTCCCCTTCCAGAGCAAACATTTGCATGTCCTCTTAGTATCTAAGAGCCTCACAATGCCCACGCCTTTGAAGAGAGGAAGGACTTGCAGCTGAGGAGCCGTGTTGTTACAGAAAGTGAGACTTTGTCAGGTGCCTGCTAGTGCTCATTATAAAGGTGACAGATAGTCTCACTTTTGACAGATGGCAAATCATTGGAGAACATTTCAGAACGCAGCCTTGCTAGGCACCAACTTTTGGGAGGAAGTTAAAATGATGTGATGAAAGAGGTATCGTGAGCAGCCACTGAAGTGGGACATGTTAATTCCCACAATGGAGGGGGATTTCATACTGAACAGCTAACAACCTCTAAGTGGCCATACACATGCAATAGTAACAAGCTCTTTACTATGGGAAGGATGAGTGTCAATCTATCCTATAGGCTTGCATTGCAAAGCATATGAAAGCACTCTCAAAGACCATGGAAATCTACTACACAGTTCAGTTTTATACACCTCTGCTAAACCATGAATCCCATCCAGTAGCATTGGATATAATAGCCAGTTGTTACAAAATTAGAATTTATTTTAAAAAACACACAGGTATCAATGATCCCAAGAAGACCGAGTTATCCTACTTGGGCTGCTGACTTTATCTCTGTCCTATCCACATTAAATAAGAATTTCTGGGCCCTGTCTCTTCTTTGTTTAGTTGCTTCTCTTCATCAAAGCTACAAGACAGAAAATTTCTGGATAATAAGAACTCCGTTCGTAACATATTGTTGAACTTACTGGGAGCCTTGAAGAGGGACAGAAGACATGTTTCCACTTATAACCCCACTTCATCTTGTATTCTGCTCACCAAAACGATCCTCACAAAATGAGAATTGCCCAAAAGATCTCCATTGTCCCTCATAGCTCACTGTTTCTATGTGTAGCAGAACTCATCGTTTAAGAGGAGAAAGGTGTGAATCGGTAGGAGGAGGAGAGATACAGGACTGCCTCTTTGGTATTCAGTTAGTTGGAATTTTCCTGACAGTGCAAGTGTGAGGAGAGCGCAGCATTCCTAACCTCCAAGAGCTCTGAGTTGGGTACACATGGCACCACAGTTCAGTTGCCCTGCTTGGGACTCCAGCATCCCATATTGACTGCCTAGATCAAGTTCCAGCTACCCCTTCTGATCCAGGTTCCTACTAAAGCAAACCTTGCCGGGCAGCCGGTGATGGCTCAAGTACTTGGGTCCTTTTTATCCTTGTGGGAGACCCAGATCGAGTTCCAGGCTTCAAGTTTCTGCCTGGCCCAGCCTTAGTTATTGAGGGCACTGGGGGAGTGAATGATTGAATAGAATCCTTGTCTGCCTCTGACTGCCTTTCAAAAAAAAAGAAAATAAATAATTTTTATTAAAAAAAAAGAACACAACATATATTCCAGGAGTTCTTAGATGACAGCAAGCCTCATTTTCATCTGAAGGACTTGCAAAAATAGAGATTTCTGAACTCTCCCTCCAGATTCTGTGGTTCAGTGTGTTGGGAGTAGGGCTTGGGAATTTATATTTCCACTTAGATTCCTGGGTGTTGATGTTATTGTTCCAGGCAACACACTTGGAGACCAGGTGTTTCTTGTATCAAAAGATGGTCATTTTTTTCTACCTAACACTGGAAATCATGTGTTCTATTGTAAGTAAATAGCACAACAATTGATAACATTGGCAAAATGAAAGTATGAATGTAACTGTTTTATGAACAGATCCTTATGAGCAGTAGAATGTGATTTATGCCTAGGTTCTAATTAAATCAGAATTTGTTCAATTAATTTGCTCACTTTATGACATTTCATAAACCTCTATTTTTCTCAAGGTTAATGAAAATATTCTAGGCGCTGTAGCTATGCCCACGGATTTTCAAGAGATTGCAAGATCCACAGTGTTACTAAGGATCGTCCCCACATCTATTTCACTTATCAAAGAAGTGGCTATAAAACACTGCAGGGAAGTAACTGAAGCTGCAGCCTACCTCATGTAGTCTTTCACACTCATTTGAACCATTCCTTGGTCATGCAAAGAAGCTGAAACAACAACAAAAACAAAAAGTAGAACTTAATTTCCTTTTACCTCAAGGAAGAGTTACTCATTCCCAAATGAACCAACATGGGACTGAATTTCCATATCCAAGTTTGCATAGATATGGAATACATGGCTTCTGTGTAGTGAACAAGGCAAAATGAGATCAAGGACCAGATTCTGTGGTCTGCACTTGAAGCACTATGCTTGCTCCATGAAGAGGGAAGTCAGTGGCTCTGCCTGCAGTGCCGGCATGCCATATGGGCGCCAGTTCTAGTCCTGGCTGCCCCTCTTCCAATCCAGCTCTCTGCTATGGCCTGGGAAAGCAGTGGAAGATGACCCAAGAGCTTGGGCCCCTGCATCCACGTGGGAGACCCAGAAGAGGCTCCTGGCTCCTGGCTTCATATTGGCCCAGCTCCAGCCATTGTGGCCTTCTGGGGGAGTGGACCAATGGAAGGAAGACCTTTCTCTCTGTTTCTCCCTCTCACTGTCTGTAACTCTACCTCTCAAATAAATAAATAAAATCTTTAGAAAAAAAAGTCAGTGGCAAAGGGAAAAGTCACTGAAGGTTTCATGGAAGAAGTTGTACTTATCTTGGACTTTTGAGACTGGGGAGAATTAGATGGTTAGAGAAGAGGTGTTATTGTTAAAGGAGAAAGTGTATAAAGAAGTAGTACAAGGCAGGGTGCTGGGCTTGTCTGATTATATCATGGGACATCTGGGGATGCTCTCAGTACCGAAGGTTGGGAAGCAAGCCCAGGAACAGGTGAAAAAACACATGAAGGGCCTAGTACTTGTTGAGTATCTTCTATCCATTTGTATCTTTTAATCTTTCTAAAAGCTTTGTAATTTAGGATCTATCTTCATCTTTCAGAAAAGAAGCCGAAACTCAACAGAAGTTTAGTAATGAGACCAGATCACACAATCAAAAGTAGCAGATATAGGAATTTAGTACCACCTTATTGATTATAGCCATAGTAGTTACTATTTACTTAGCATTAACTTTGGGCAAGGCAGCATGCTAAGTGTGTCTCTACTTATTATCACAATAAATCCACGAAAGAGGTGGGATTAATTTCCACTCAACACAGAGAAAAGCTGAGGCACAGAGAAATGAAATAAATTAATCATGGCCAGTGAGATGCCACAGCTTATTTTGTTGCCATTTTGTTACTGTTGTTGTTATTGTTTATTTTCAAAACACCACATATCAACAGAATTACTTGCTGGTTATTTGAAAGCCAGAAAGAGGAGTTTATATTTATGTGTTAGTATATGGAAATTCATTAAAGATTTTTGAGCAAGCGCATAAATTTAAGAAAGAGCATGCTAAAGATTAATTTCCTAGTAGCAAACTTGAAATTAAGTAATTAATAAATATAGTGGCTCTCCGTTATCTCTGGTTTTGCTTTCTGCAGTTTCAGTTACCTGAAGTCAATCACCATCTGAAAATACGAAATGAGAAATTACAGAAACTAACAGCCCACAAGCTTTCAATTGTGTGTTACTTGAGTAGCATGATAGAATCCCTCACTGTTCTGCCTCCCTCCCTCTGGGACATGAATTGTCATTTTGTGTGGCATATCCATGGAGTTTTCACTACTTGCCCATTAGTCACTTACTAGCCACCCCAGTTATCAGATCACATTGCAGTACCTGTGTTCAGTCACTCTTATTTAACTTAATGATGGCCCAAAGCATAATAGACAGGAGGATGTAACTCCAATATGCCAAAGAGAAGTCATAAAGTACTCTCATTGAGGGAGAAGGCATTAGTTCTCTACTTAATAAGAAAGAAAAAGACAAAGATTATATGCTGGAGTTGCTAAGATCTGCAGCACAGTAAGATATTTTGAGAGACAGAGAGGCTGCATACATATAACTTTTACTTCAGTATATTACAGTTGTTATATTTTATTATTGGCCATTATTGTTAATCTTTTACTGTATCTAATTTATAAATTAAACTTTATGTATGAATAGGAAAAAAAGTTATGTGTGTGTGTTGCCATGGTTTCAGGCATCCCCAGGGTGTTCTGGAACATATTTCCCCATGCGGATAAGAGAGGTGACTGTGTTGGATGGAGAAAGGCCAATTCAGGGGCTGTTGCAGTATTCAGATCCTGTATCACATCCTAACATGTGGCTGACATCTGCAGAAAGAAATGTCCAGAGTACGGGCAAATTCCTCAGCAGTTTCACCAGTTTTCTTGCTTCCACTCACTCAGACTCTCCTGGGTACAAATGAGTGAGTTTTCCAAAATTGGAATGTGTTGACACCATGTGCTTCCTTGAGAATGTCACATTTTTCACTATAAGAAAGATAATACAGGTGGGAGAAACTTTGGAAAAATGAACCTGGTATGATTTGAACATAAGAAAGAAAAGTAAAATAAATCTTTAGTTTAAAGCCAGAGTTTTTGCCCTGACAGGGGACTATAAATAGATCTTAGGTGTTTGTGAACTTATCTCTGTCAAATTTTTGGGGTAGATATAGGAACATCCATAATTTCCAGCAGATTTTTCAAAGATGCAGTGACCCTGCTAAACAGAAAAACCACTGGAACAGAACAAAAACCACTGGAGATGTAACTGAGGTGTGAGTGAACAGCCCAGAATACACTGCCATCAAAGAGGTGGAGAGAAAACAGATACAGGGAATGCCTGACTTACCCAATACATGGGACTCTGTTATCACAAGAGTCAGATAAGGAAGAAATAGAAATTTATTTTAAAGGTTTAAGTACAATGTGGGGACAGAGATGGTGTCTGTGCTTCTATTGCTTGTCCTACTCCCATGCAAACACCATTAATAAATTACACCACTTCCTCATCCAGCATAGATAGCCTCCCAGAATCTGTAGGAAATATACTACCAATTGATTGGAATCATCCAATTAGATGAGTGTGAGACCGAAGATGGTGGAATAAAGAAGGAGCTTACTGCTATGGTCTAGGGGAAGATAGTTTAAAAAAAAAATGGAGAGTGCAGTCTCAGGGAAGAGTTAGAGAGAAAACAGCAGAGGAAACTTCAAATTAAAGTGACACTGTGAACCTCTGTGGAGGGTTTGGACACACACAGTCCAGGAACTCAGCAGTTGAGAGCCTCAGCACCAGCCCTGGAGAGTGAGGTGAGACCAGACTCCAGCAGCCCAAGCCACTGGCAATAAAGCTGTGGGAGAGTATAGCATGAGTCTGGCTTGGAGCCCCGTGAGGGACAGTGCACAAGCCAGCCTAGAGGAGAAGAAAAGGAGGCATGTGTCTCTCTTCCTGATCACCCGGAACTGGTGTCCTGTAGCAAGCTGAGAGAGGGCGGGTGCCATTTTGGACATATGTAACAGCTGTGCCAGCTCACATCCATGTGCCCAAAAAACAGCTGAGTGGAGACACCTGAATATGGCTGGGAGAATTGATAGGGGGTGGGTGCTCATGACTGTGGGAGGCTTGCATGCCTGGACTGTGAAAATACTATGGCTATGTGGCAGGGTGCAGAACGTGGCTGAGACTTTGGGCAGTCACTGTGAATTCCCAGGGCACCCTGATTGCCTGGTGAGAGTCATAGATGTGGGATCGGTGCTCTAACAAAGGACTGCACAGATCCTTTGTGTGGTTTTTGTGGCAGCATGGATGAATATTGTACCCACTGAGGCTAGTGCCCAGGCATTGGTCTCATTAGAAGAGAGGAGGTGAGCATGAGACTATGCCAACAGAGCAGAACAAACCCTTCTACTGGTAAAGAAAAAGAGATTTACTGTGCTCAACATGGGTGTCATTTTGGACACTCACTTCACCCTGTAGCACTGAACAGAACTCCCTGGACATACCCACCATATGCCTCTGGGTATTCACTTAAAAAATAGACACTCCACTAAGCCACAGAGGAATAGTACTAAGATAAAATCCATCACAAGAAAAAAGAAAACAAAAAAGAAACCAACAAGTATCTACATAAATGCAGAATAAATGCAGCAATTCAAGAACAAAGAATAAGGAAGACAACGTGATGCCCCCCAAAAAACACAACACTTCAATTCTAGAACGTGAACATGAAGAGACTGAAGAAATGACAGAAATGGAATTCAAAAAGTTGACTGTAGGATTACTTTCCACAAACTAACAAAATCTTTAATGACATGAAATAAAATTTCTCCTATGAAATTGAAATCTTAAAAATCAAAATGACATCTTAGAAATAAAGAATTCAATAGAAGAAATAAAAAATGTGGTGGAAAGCCTTTACTGACTCAGTGAAGCAGAAGAAAGAATATCTGAGTTAGAAGACAAATTGCTGGAAATTTTACAGTCAGACTAAAAAAAGAAGAAATTAGAAAATTAAAAATCTGTTGGAGATCTATGGGATACTATCAAACTACCCAAAATATGGGTCTTAGGAGTTCCTGAAGGTGTGGGAAGAGAGAAAGAATTACAAGGCCTTTTTAATGAAATAATTATAGAAAACTTCCCTAATTTGGAGAAAGAGGTGCCCAAGTACAGAAAACACACATAGAACTCCTAATAGACATGACTAGAAAAGATCTTTATCACAATGCATTGTTGTGCATGAGAGAAACACCAGATTACTTTCAGAGGATCTACAAATAGACTCACAGCAGACTTCTCATCAGAAACCCTACAGACTAGGAGAGAATGGTGAGATATATTCCATGTCTTAAGATAAAAAACTGTCAACTCAGAATACTGTACCCTGCAAACCTCTCATTTATGAACGAAGGTGAAATAAAGACCTTCCATAATAAACCAAAATTGAAAGAAATTGCCACTACCCATCCAGCCTTACAAAAGATGCTTAATGATATACTACACACAGAAACATGGTCATCACTATGAAAGAAGTATAAATCTCCCAGTAAAAGTACAAAGGAAATCCAAAGTAACTAATAGGAATATTTACAGGAGAATGGCAGGGCAAAGTCATCACTTAACAATAGTCATTTTGAATGTAAATGGCCTCAACTTTCCAGTTAAGACACAGACTGGCTGAATG